CTAGGGGATTGAACCCAGGGCCTTGCACTGAGTTATACCTCCAGCCTAAAACTCTTTTAAGATATAATTTTATTTTGAGTTTGTTGGGAAATGAGGTAGTGATATTTTATCTGAGTTTAGGGAGAATCCTAAGCTGGGAGGAGGAGGAAAGAAAGAAGTTTTGACATTCTTTAGTGTTATTTTTATTGGAAGTCACCCTTAAAAAAAAAAAAAACAAAAAGAAAAGAAACAGATTTAAAATACTTAGTTTTTACCAGAGGTAGTTAACATGTGTCAATATAATTGTCCTCCCTGTTGGAAGCAACATGGCTGGTAAAGTGAAAAGAACACGTGGTCAAAGGACTACCCAGCTGTCTCCTGTTTAACCTGTCTGTGAAATGGGGGACTAGCTTGAATTAGCTTTCAAGTCTTATTTTGCTGTGAAATTATTTTGCACCTGGAAATATTTCTGATCAGTGTCTACTAGAAGAAAATATAAGTTTGTGGTTCTCCTAGCCAATGTTAGGAAGGATTTCGAACTAGCTACTCATTCCTTCCATGTTTGAGGATGTTTTATAATTACTTCTGTCTTTACTAATGTTAAACAACATTGGGCAACTCCAAATTATTAATGATAATTGTTCATCACACAATTAATCACATGACAGGTACTTAATCTATACCCACCCTAAAGCAGTAATTTCTGGTACCACTTTAGGTAGAACTTTTTGTTGTTGTTAAGTTACACACTACAGAGATGGGAAAAGGCAGATATTATATTAACAACATAACAGAAATTCATGTGAAAAGGAAAACTAGTCTGAGCTTTGTTTGTTTCTAAGTGACCTCAAAAATAGACTTAATTGAATTAGTAACTATGGTTTTTTTTTTTTTTTTTGGTTGAGCATTGATCTCATCACATGTTTTTACTGAGAATAAAGTAGAAATAAAAGAAGTTACAGATTTGAGAACATTCTGGAAGCATCATCATACCTTTAGTAGTTATCTCTAGAAAGTTCTTGCTATCTTACCGCCACAAACCATACCTATATTTATCGATTTATCTGTCCAAGACATTTTGCAATCCTACAGAGATAAAACACAATGATCTTAGATTATTGGAAAATTCCTACTTAATTCACTTTTAATCCTATCAACACTTTTGATTCTAAGATTTCCCATCTCTTATTAAAAATATTATGATTGTCTCTGCTTCAAGGAAATACTTGTGTGATCTTGATGATTTCTTTGTTAGATTTTGGGATAGTATACAAATTTCTGCCACATATACTTAGGATTGTCTGCCAAATTCCCAGGGTGTCTTTTGATACAGATATTTATGCAAGATACACAGAGTAACATGCAACATCTTGTTCATAATTTGGAGTGGTTTTCCAAATAAAAAGAGAATATTTAACTGGTAATTTGTCAAAATTACTATGTATGTTTGTTTTAACAGAAAAAAAAATGGCTCATTTTGTCTTCATAGATATGATGATATGTTAGTGGTACCTATTATTGAGAACACACCTGAAGAAAAAGACCTCAAAGAACGAATGGCCCGTGCAATGAATGAGTACCCCGACTCCTGTGCAGTCCTGGTCAGGCGCCATGGAGTGTACGTGTGGGGAGACACATGGGAGAAGGCTAAAACCATGTAAGTGTAAAAACATTTGGGATAAGTCACCACACCCTGAATGTGAAAATGAACAAAAAATGTCTCAACGATTTAAAATGAAGGATGATTGTCATGTTTCATTGGTCAAATAGGCTTAAATTTAAAGGGTTTATCATTATATCCAGATATTTGATTTTTACTATGTATTGATTCATTGAGAATTCTTCATTGGATGAGCCATTATTTGGGAAGGCTCTGTGGACAGAAGAGGAAGGAGACGCAGATCCTAAATATATTTTATTTCAAAAAATAGCACACAGTATAAATTTGTGTAAGTAGTATGTTTAAAAATCTCTTTTATTTCCTGAGAACTATATGACATGGTTGCCTGATTCAATATGATTCCTTTACATGTTTTTAAATTGTTGTTTTTAAATAGTTTTTTAAATGTTCTTATTTTGCCCTCAAACTGATAGGGAAAATTTGCAGGTACTAGGAAGAAAGCAGAGTTAACTGGACAGAAAGGAGAGATGTGGTTATTTAAGTTTGGAGAATTCCATTTCAAGTAAACACCTTCATTTTTTCTTTTTTCTTTTTCTTTTACAGGTGTGAATGTTATGACTATTTATTTGATATTGCTGTATCAATGAAGAAAGTAGGACTTGATCCCACCCAGCTCCCAGTTGGAGAAAATGGAATTGTATAAGCCAAACAAAAGTTTAATTATACAGAGATTAAACTAAACTTAATTATTATTTAAGTGAAACAATTATTTTTAAATGAATTGAAATTTTCCAAAAACACCATTGATTTATCACTAAATGCTACAGATGATCATATTTAATCTCTTCTGACATTGAATAATATTTGCTCATATTCTTGTAATTTAAATGACAGGACAGTGGAATAAAAATTTTTTACTCAGTGTTTTTTATGTTTAAAATTTGTGATAGCAAAATATTTGTCTATAAATTAATGCCTTTTTATATGCATTCAGAGAATTCCTTTTAATATTTAAAGCTGCTGGTGATAACAGAATTCATGGTAAATTTTCATTTAATTATGAAATGAGAATTTTCTTGATTTAATGTTGGTATATAAAATTTATGTGAAACATTAAGACCTAATATATCCCCCATATTTTATGTCAAGACAGTTTTATAGATCTCACCCATAAACTTGAGCATTTCACTATACAGGCTCAGCAGCCATAATCAGAAAGTCCAAAATCCAAAACTTTTTGAGCACAGACATTTTCCAGAGGTGAGAAGTTCTGTAGCTGATCTCCTGTGACTGGTCATGGTCTAAACACAAGTGCACTAAAAATACTAAAAACACTGTATAAAATTGCCTTCAGGACAAACTGTATATGAAACATAAATCAATTGTGTGTTTAAACTTGGGTCCCATCCCCAAGACATCTCATTGTGTATATGCAAATATTCTAAAGTCCAAAATACTTCTGGTCCCAAGCATTTCAATTAAGAATACTCAGCCTGTAATAGAATATAGGACACCCTCTTATATTAAGAACAATTATGAAATTCAAGTCAGATGACATGAAGTCCAGTTTTTTACCAAACAAACCCGGACAAAACCACAAATGTAATTAATCAGAAAATGCTCCTTTTTTTTTTTTTTTAAATGGTGCCAGAAGGAATATCACCTTAATTATAAAGGTCTTATTTGGTTAATACTTTTTACATTTAAGGGAGAAAATCAATAATGCACCATCTCTGAAATGTTAATGTCGTATTCCCACTGCTCCCCATGATCATCTCCCACCCGTCAAAGATGGTTTACCCAGATCTTCCCAGCCAGCCTTCTCTAACCTCACAGATGCCCAGTCCTTGCTTTTACCGTTTTTCATTACCCTTTACTCTTTTCATGTCCTTGCTTCCTTCCTTGTGAGGCACCCAGTATTCACACCACTTCACTGAGGACACTCCAAGCCCCTTGTATCCTGCTTCCTCAATCATATTCACCTGGAGAAGACCTCTGTCTTTGTTAAGCCACTTATTTAGCACCTGTACCCACGTAGCAAGGACTGGTGAGGGAAATTATATAACCATGATAACTGATTTCACATCAGATTCAAGACCATAGATCACAGAGGGGGGCACTGGATACCATAAACAAATCTACCACAATTCCCTACTGAATTCATTTGCCCAGTCTATTGATTATTTGTCTTTACCTTTCCTTTTCTTTAGTCCAATCTCCCAACATTCTCTCACACCCACTCTAAGGTGACAACTTCACCTTATATTTGAAGAGGTGAAATAGGTTCACTCCGAGGGAACTAACTCATTGCTCCACTTCACAGTTCTGCCACCCTTCCTGCCTGCAGCCACCATTGCCAATTTCCTTCCACAAGTTTGGTTCTAAGATTCATTCTTCCACTTATGCCTTGGACCCTTTGTCTTTAGATTTTTTTTCAAGGGATTTGCTTCAGTCAAGATCTCTACATTTATCTCTATCTCTACATGATTCTCTTTTGTATTGTCAGGTATTTTCCCCCAACTGTGTCTTTTTTCAGTTTACATAAAAACTTGCTCTTAATGTCTTCCACTTTAAAATACTTCCAAGTTTTGCCTTCTACCCCAGCAATTTTATTTTACAACAAAGTTTTTAAAAATAATTGTTCCCTCCTACCAATTTTTTTTGCCCCTACTTGGTCCTTGATTTTCTCCAAATAGGCCTCTAATCTCCACTGAAACAGCTCTTACGAAGAGCAACCAAATCTCCCACATTCTCATGTTTCCCCTAAAGACAGTTTCCCTTGAGGATGAAGTGGCTGTTTCCACTTCTTCCTTTACCACTGGGCCTGGGGTTCTAAGATGGATGAATTCTTTGAGTGCTAAATGTCTCCTTTCCCTTGTTCCACTGTACTCAGCAAAACTCTCATTCATAGTTCCAGCTGTTTTCTGACTCCACACTTGGACATATGCATCTTGATGTATTGGGTGGGGGGGAACCTATGTTAATGTCAAGTGGATCTTAAATGCTGCCAGGGAATTTTACCTTACTGTCCTTGTCCAGTCTCATTCTCCCATTTTTTCAGGCAACTGTTTCTCGATTTTCAAACTTGAAATACCTCCCTACATACTCAATCTGGGCTCATGACCTCGACTGCTGTTTCACTTTCAAAAAAAAGTCATCAGTCATCAACTTCTACAGGCTTCCCACTTCTGCATGTGCCATGCAGCACAGGTGAGCTGTCCTCGCTGCCCACTGAGGCCAGACTCCCCCTCTCCTGTTCAAAGACATCATTGAAGCAATTTCTTCCTCCTCACGTTATCATCAGTTCTGTTCTCTCGATCTTGTTTTTCCTTTAGCATATTAAGTATGTTGTCCTCCAAAGTCTCAAACCCACTTTCTAGATATAGCCTCATTTCTCTGCTTTTGTCTCCAGAGTTTCTTGAAAGAGTCACTATAACATTGTGTCTGATTCTTCTATCCTACTCTTGAATTCACTCCAATCAGACTTTTGCCTGAACCACTCTACTGTGACTGTCGTCATGGCCTCTGACAATGATTACATTGCCTGATCCAGTGACAAGTTCTGTCCTCGACTTAACCTATCGGCATTTGGCCTTAACAAATCACGACACTGGTTTTCCACACAGTGCTAGTGCTACAAAGTCAAGGGTGTCTCATGTTTTAGCCATTGTGTAACTTTTCTCCATCCTCACTTGATGATCTCATCTAGTTTCATGGACCTATAACACAATATGTGCTCTGACAACTCTTAGTGTATGTATCTTTAGCCAATAGTTTTCCCAATCTCCAAACTCAGCTTTTTTTTTTTTTTAATGTCATCAGAGGAATGTTCAGTAGACATCTTAATACATACAAAACCAGTTCCCATTTCCTGAAGCCTTTCCTTGGCTCAGTTAATGGTAACCATCTTTACAATCACTCATGGTTAATAATCTTGGTGTAATGCTTAATGGTTTTTTTTTCACACACTATAGCCAGCTAATCAGCATATTCTTTCAGTTTTACATTCAAAATACATTTGATCGATAAAGTTTTTAGTGCATTCACTGTAACTACTTGGGCCAAAACCCTCCATTTTTCACTTAAATTATGCCAGTTGTCTCCTAATCAATTTCTATGCTTCAGCCCTTGTCCCACCACCCCTGCACCCAACAGTCCGCCATCAACACCAATCTACATGATC